CTGCAAACCCCACATCCCCCCCATCACACACCCACCATGTGTTAAGGAAACCAAGTGCAAACATTAAAACATTTAGATATTTAGGATTTATTTTATTATGATGCTAGGGACACTGGTAAGCTTCCAAACTGATTTCACATTGTAAATATAGCAATAAAACATTGCCCATCTGATCAATTCCTCTCTTTTGTTCTAATTGTGAAAGAACGTGGATTCTGGGTTATTTTAAAAAGTGAATTTGGGATGCTGCTTCAGCAGTCTAGCTGACACAAGGGGCTAGTGTCCCCAGGACTCAGCGGGGTGAGCCCTAGGGTCTGTTTCCCCCAGATTGTTGCCGGGGGGACTCTGTTACTGGACCTTCCTTTGGGTTGGACAAAGCATCAGCACCTGTGGTCTCAGGGGGTAGGTCCTGGCCAGCAGAGTGAGAGGCTTCCTCCATGGGCTCCTGTTAGGGACTGTCCAGCAGCCCCAAAGCCTTCTCCATGGGGATCACCCATTTGATCTTTCCACTGGGTGGGGTGTCGGGCACAGCCGGGGAGGCCCACGGGAGCTGGGCTGCTCCTTCATTCTGTGTGGTGGTCGGGGGGGAGGGGGAGGAATCTTCCATGTCAGAGGGCTTCAACTATGCCTGGACCTTCCTTTTGGCTTTGCGCCATGAGGGGACCTGCACCCACTCAGCCGTGGGGTGGTCCTCAGGAGGACAAGTTTCAGTAGGACAAGGTGAGGGTTGGATGGGTGGGGAAGCTACAGCAAAGACATGACTAGGGGCAGGAGTGCCCTACTTCCTTCTCCCCTTGGCTACTGCTGCCTTCTCTGGTACTCTGCCAAACTTCGTTTGGGGGCGAGGTCCCCTGAGCTCACAGAGGGGCTGGATGATGTGCCGGGGTGCCTGAGGGGGGAGCGGTACTAGTGGCAGGGGCATCCCTCTTGCCAGTGGGAGCTGAGGATGCCCTCTCCTCCTGGCCCATAGGGCACTCATGATGCAAGTGCCCTGGGACGTGGCACCAGAAGCATTGCAGGTCTCTCAGTGTATAGAAAACCCTCACCAGGGCCCCCTGAAAAGGAATCACAAGGCACCCCTTAGCCTCCAGCCATGTTCCTGCCACCAGCTGGATCATAACCTGGTGATGGAAAGAGTGCACTTGGCAGAGGCTGGGGTCTCGGCACCCCAGCAAGAAGGCCACCACTGGGGAGATAACTCTCTCCAGGGTTTGGAGCTGGGGCAGCAGGGGCCAATTAGGGATACAGGGAGGGACAGAGTTGAGTACCACCCCAGTGCCCAGCTCTTCTAGGGGCTCGAAGAGTATGTACTTGTTCTCTATTACAAGTCTCCTCTCCACTGCCTTTTGTGCAGCGTCCTCCAAGGCAAGGAAACAGACCCCCTTGCCGCCTGTGCATAGCTTCAGTTCCCCTGCTAGGGGGCCACATTGGTGGGGCCATGGTAGGGCGAGGGTCAGTCTAAGTGGGTGTGCTGGCTGATGTAGCATACCTGGTACCCTCAGGCACCAGTGGTCTAGGCTTGGGGCCCTTACCCTTCCCACCCCCAGCTGTGGAGGAGGCTGAAGAGAAACCCTTCCCACTGCCCTTTCCCTTGGTCCCTGATGGTGAGGGAGGAGGATTGGGACCCCCCTCTGGGGGAGGGGCCTGGCCCTTTTGGCTCCCTGACAGAGTTCTACCTGCCCTTGCAGCAGAGGTTGCAGGCTTCTCTACCCCTGGAGAAGTTTGGTTAGACTCTGCCTCCAGGGTGCAGGCTGCAGGGGCATGCATCCCCTCAGGGGCTTGGCTGGGATCTGCCCCAATAGTGGGGGCTGAAGGAAGCTCTGTGGGGGCATCTGCCCCCCCAGAATGTTCCTGCCCTGCCATTGCTTCACATGAGGGAGGAGAAAACAATAAAGAAAACCAAAATATAAAGTGGGCCTGGTGAATCTAATAGGGTGGGGTTGTGGGGGAAATGAGGTGGGGGTGGCTGAAGCTCAATGAGCTACAGCCCCACAGGGAAAAAAATCATGAAGGCTATGCTTGGGGAATGTGGGGGAGGGGGAAACACACACACAAGGGCTGTGGACACTCAAGCTGGCTTACTCAGCCACACAACGAACACCAGGCCAGGGGAAGTGGACCACAGGACTTACCACACAAGGGCAAAAACACAAAGGGAAGGCTGCTGGGGCAGATGTAAGAGATGGCTGGAGCAGTGGAGGGGTTTTGTTTGTTGAAGATCAGTCCAGGAGCCCCTCAAGCCTCCAGCCAGGCACTCAGCAGCAAAGCAATAGGTAGGAAAACAAAGCAGGATCAGATGCGGTGAGGCAGCTGTAAGGGAGTGCAGGAGCAATCCATCAATTAGGGAGTAATTCAGTGCAGGTGTGGTGTTGAGTGGTGCAGCAGGGAATCTCCCTCTCTCCTGAGAAAGGACAGGAGTAGAACAGACAGCAGCAGTAACAGCAACAGCAGTGGTAGTAGCCATCCAGTTCAGCCACTCAGGGTGTGCTTCAGGTGAAAGTGGAGGTGAAGGTGGGGGGTGGCCTGCTAAGGCAGCTGGGGCAGGCAAGGCACCTTTAGGCTCCAGCAGTGCTGGTGGGGGAGGGGCCCATAGGCAGTGCAGGCTCCATCTCCAGGCTGTCCCCTGACTGCAGCTTGGTGGTGGGCTGGGCAGCAGGCTGGAACAGGGGTGCAGAAGCTGGCGTGTGGTGGGCACCTCCCTGAAGGGGGGCAGTGGCATGCAGCAAAGGACCCCCCATGGAGGGGGGGGCAGCAACAGCAGCCCAAACGAGGAAGGGGTGTAGCCTGCTTACCCCCAAAAGCTCTGAGAACAAGCTAGCAGTAGCCAAAAACAAGAAGTGGCCTGGCCATCTTCTCTCCAGAAGTTCCTGAAACCAAGCTTGCAGTAGCAGCAGCCTGGAGCAAGAAGGGGTGTAGCCAACTTCCTCCCAGAGGCTCCTATTTGTATCCTTCAAATACCATGGACCCTAAGGCCCACCTGGCTAACTACTGTTTGTGGCCAATGTGTGAAAGATACAACAGAATTCTTGGTACAAAGGCAAAAAACAGGACAGGAATGATGTGAGGGTCAAAGGGTCAAAACATGAAAATGAGTACGCCTGAGGGAGACAATGAGCAGAACCCTCTGGGCCGTACCCACTGGTTCTCAATACTTATCCAAGGAGCCGGTGGATGCTGCCCACTGGTGCTCTGCCCAGAAATGTGCATGAATAAGTGAGAGGAAAATGGCCCCACAGGCTCTCGGCACCTCCTGGCCAGAGCCTCCTTCTTGGTCAAGTACAGGGCCCACTTGGCCAGGGCCAGGAGGAGGTTGATCAGGAGGTCCCAGCACTTCGTGGGGCTGCAGATGGGGTAACCAAAAACAAAAAGGTGGGGAGTGAAATTCAACCAGAACCTCAGGAGGAGGTTTTGGAGGTGGAGGTGGAGGGGCTGCAGCCTGGTGCACTTGAGGGTCATGTGCAGCAGGGTCTCCCTCTCCCTGCAGAAGGGGCAGCAGACCGGGGTGTCCGTGAAGCTTGCCACATTCACGCCCACGGCGATGGCTCCATGGAGGGGCCACCAGCTCAGGTCCCCAGTGGCTCATGGGATGAGGGTGGAGTACAGACTCAGCCACTGGGGTGCCCAGGCCATGCCCTCGCTGAGCAGGTCCCGCCACTTGGTATCTGGGCAGGACACAAGGACGGCATGATGGATCATGAGGCACACAAGCATGTAGAGATGGTGGCCATGGATGGTGGAAAAGCAGACTGGTCTGGTGTCTTCCAGCCAGCTTAGGTGGTGAAGCAGGGAGCACCGTGAGGCTGGACGAGGTGCTGGCCCCACAACAAACTCCTGTGGGCTGGAGGACATGGCAGGGGGGGCGGTGGAGAACTGCCACCGCGCAGGACCTGGTCAACATAGGCAAGGGCGTTGGGATGTAGGGCCTCAGAGGCTCCTGAGGGCAAGGAACCCTAAGCTGCTGGGGCCAGCACAGCTGGAGGCCCCAGGCTCTAGCTCCCCCTGGCTGCAGATCCATGAGGAGCCAGGCAGGGTTATTTTGCCCCAAGTGGCACAACTTGCTCCACAACAAAGTGCATGTCCGGGCATGTGTGCTGAGGCAAAAAGCCTCGGCTCAAATTTGCACCACTTCTATTTGAGCTGCTGCAAGCACACATGCTTTCATGTGTGAATGTGCCCTCTGGGTCTTTCTGATACATGGCAGTGCAGATTATGAGGACTGCAGGATGCATAGATTTTTCATACAAGTGATAGTAGTGTTTAGCAGATTACTGAAAACTGATAGTTATATATTTATATTATACCCCAAACCTGGGGATTATAAGATGGATATATTTATTCTATTTTTAGCATCTTGAAAGCCATCTGGAGTGCAGTGCATTAACATCTGTCCTCAAAGTGTTGGTTCTTTTAATGGCATCATTCAAATTAGTACTATAAATATATTGTATGTGTAGACTTGCATAGCTATGTATCAAGCCTGTACATTTTCCAACCTTAAAAGAGAGGTTTTGAAACCACATAATTGGATGAAAAGCAACATGTTGATCTGGTGGTGATGTTTTATTGTCAAAACATGATGTTTTGTTGAAGCTGAATAACTTGGAATTCACTGGGCATGAATAACTTTAGGCTGGAAATTAGAAAAAGGTTTCTAATCATCAGACAAAACACTCTGGAACAGCCTTCCAGTAGGGGTTGTGGAAGCAAAAATCCTAATTAGTTTTAAGATGGTCCATAAGAAGTTTATGAAAAGGATTATGTAACATGTTTTTTTGAAATAGCAGAAGACTGGTTTGACTCAGGAAGTCCTTTCCAGTTTTGTGCCCTATGTGTTTATATTTCACGGAGAATTATCAATTTTGATAATACTTCTAAGGTCCAGAGTGGGCTCTCAAGTTTTCTGGCAGACAGAGAAAGGGAGGCAGAGAGATAGAAATCAGAGACCCGATTTTTTTATCCCAAACTGACATAGCTCTGTTTTGCAAAACACATTGAATAGGTTTTACCTCCAGTTCAAAAATAAATTATGAAAACTATAAAGTTGTTACTAAACAGAATTTATCTCCTCTGGCTACCCTGAGTCAAAATGTCAATACTGAATGCTTTACAGCCTTACCTTCGGTCCTGGAAGGCCTTGAGGACCCTACATTTGAGATAAGAAATAAGAAAAATGGTATTTTACTAAGCTAGTTTTAAATCCCAGTATCCTGGTTCCACATGCAGTGTGTTAACTTCTGTTTCTGACACGCTGAACTCACATACATTTAAACAAACATTGCCTCAGAATATCTTTCTGTCTGTATTAAGATGCACTTCACATACTGCTCCAGTTTGGTAATGCAAAGAGTCTATCTAGGCACAGCCTGACAGTGGCTGTCTGCTACTAAGATCGTCTCCCTGGTTCATCCTCTGATCATATCATTCCCTTTCCTCTAACCCCTTTCTCTTTGCCTGTGCCTTAGGCATGTTTCCTTTCTTTACCCTTAACACTCATTGCACAATAGATTTACTCGTTTGCGGGATTTAGTATCAGTTGTATCAGTTGCCTGCTTCACTCTCTTAGGCTGCGTCCACATGAGCATGGAAGTTTGGTTCCTTGGGGACAACTTGCATGGGTACACCTTGTGCCACCACTAGTTATACCCAGGGAATGCCTGTGCCATGTGCCCTTTAGAGTGAGGCAGGTTACCCCAGGTTGGGTAGGGGAGGCTGCAGCAGTCTTACTTGGGATGCTGGGGTCCTCCTGGGGCTGCAGCAGTGACAATCCTGCCACTCAGAGCCTGGTGAGAAGCTGGAGCTTGGCTCTGGCCGGCCAGGCTCCAGATTTGAATCGTGTGTGATGCCTCTGTGTGCACCACTCCACTTTTTTTTTTTTTGCATGGTTTTTTTTAACCCCTGGATATCCAGGGGTCAAAAAAATCCCTGCGCTGCTCCCTTGCAGTGTGAAGAACAGCTGAATGTGCAGTATGTTCAGCCTGTTCAGTATGTTCCGCACAGCCATGCTCATCTGGACACAGCCTCAGTGTTTCCAAGCTTCAGTACATCCGGTGCTTTTCCTCCTCAAACCCTTACACACATTTTTCCATGCCACATTTTATGCAAGTCACATAGTCCTTGGTAAAACCTGTACAGCCACTGCCCCATCATTGTTCAACTTCTTCCTCATGCTGCATCCCCCCAAAATAATTAATCAAAACTTACTGAAGCACCAGGTGGACCTTGGGGCCCAGGTGGCCCAGATACCTAAAAATGAAAAGTAAAATAGTCATTCCCATAATAAATGCTGCAGCAGAAGCACAAGCTATGATTAGCAGAAAAGCAGGAAGTTGGGCGGCTCATGAAGCCCATGGAGATGCTATTGTGTTGGTGATAATGTGGTTTGTGTGGGACGAGCAGAGTTCCAAGAAGCACTGGTGCCAAGATTCAATTTTGCCCCTTCTGATCTTACAGGAAAAAAACAATACTTACTGACTCCCCTGGGCTTCCTTTTTCTCCTTCTTCTCCAGGTTCTCCCTTCTCTCCCTGAAAAACACAACAATAGAACCAATGCATACAGTAGCACCAGTGAGAGGTCTAGCTTCATCACTAGTAATGTATGATATACTCACAAGGTTAGAAGAAGAAATCACTCAAAGGTGGAAAGAAGACTTAACATTTATTCATATAATTCACATACAGGTGTCTGAAAGTATTGCCACACAATGGATTTTCTGTGGGGTGTGGACAGTTAGGCTAGTATCTGTTGTTCTCACACTGGCATGCAGGGTACAATTTTCAAAGGTGTCTGGGGTATGTCTCCTCTGCAGAGAGCAGTATGGTGTAGAGATAGCCAAGCATGGAGCTCAGTGTGAGAAGCAGAGTAAACTGACCTGCAGCAAACTGCATGCTGCTGTGGCTGGATTACAACTGGTGTCTGAGCTAGATCATTAGCTATCCTATACCACATTGCAGTCATCAATGTAGACAAACATGATATAGGAGTCCAAACCCTATTAGATTTCAATGAGATTTAAACCAATTTTCAAAAGGGACATAAGGACTTGGGAGTCTCAGGTTTCTCAGTTACTGAGGTGCTTTTGAAAATGTTAGCCTCAGTATTTTGTACTTTGTGTATCCTCTGCTTAACCCATCTTAAAAAGTCCATGTTTCTTTGCACTCTTACTGTAAGTCCTGGAAGTCCAATTGGACCCGGTAATCCAGAAGATCCTGGTATCCCTTTGTCACCTTGTTCTCCTTTCTCCCCAGTTGGGCCATCGAGACCCTACAGAGCAAGAAAGACTTTTGTTTCTTTCAGTACTTAATCATGCAAATGAGAGAGTGACAACATTGAACCAAAAGATGAAAAGCTCTTTTTGTTCCATGAACTTTGGCAGTAATCTTTACCCAGATGACCCATTAAACTTGTTGCTTCCCTCCAATAGAAACCCTTTGGTTACTAGTGCAAATAAGGATATACATGTGCTTAAATGTTTTACTTCCTGAAGACCTTAATAGCCATTGTGACATGTTTTATTTCTGCAACTCTGGGTATTATTCCCATGCTTAATATGATGCTTACACTGAAATGTTTTGCTGGATTGGTGCCATAATCTCATCCTAATACTAACCATAAGATTGTGGATATATGTGGAATCTCATGGAAAACATGTTCTATAAAGCAAAATTAATTATCATTTAATTTGGAGAACCTATTAAGATGTGACACTCTGCTAACAGCTGGGAGTCTCAACACTTCTACACTTACATACACTGTATACTACAGTTGACCCTCTCCCTAAATTTTGCGTCTGAGATTCTCAGTGTTCAAGGGGGTTCATATCTACACATTGTGCCCATTTCTGCTGTGAACCTCAGCAAAGACAATTCACTGCTCTAAGGTGCTTAGTACCTACTCACCGGTGAGCCAGCTTGTCCTGCCTCCCCTTTGTCTCCTTTCAGTCCTGGAGTCCCCATAAGTCCAGGCTCTCCCTTTACTCCTGGAGGTCCATCCTTTCCTGAGGGCCCTTGGGGACCAAGAGGCCCCATTTCTCCTGGTTTACCTCGTGGACCCTAAAAAATACCCATACCATTAAAAATAGTACTCTATACAGTTAGGTCAAAGGGCCTCCCAACCCTATCAGTCCACTGTTAGCATGATTAAGCCCCCCATTTACATTTGGGTTGACTGGGAAAGCCCTTTGGAAACAAGTCCAGGGTGGCACTTGAACTGGAGTCATAAGACAACACCTCAGTCAAGATGTCTCTGCTGTTGTTTACGACTTGGGAAAGAAATAAAAAAGATTAGGGCAGGAGTTAATGGGCCTAACTGTCATTATTCCAGCAATGTGAAGGGGAGTGCAGTAAATGTACTGTACAGAGAGATAAGAAGTCAAGGACTTATTGAAAACAAGACTCAATCCCTATTTCTCAATTGTAACGTTCGTTGTAGGTTGTTTGAAACAAGTGATGGAGTTTACTGGTACTTTCATATCAACTTCCTTTTTTGCAGAGAAAAATGGTTTTTACAACTGCAAGTAACCTTTGAATAATGGGAAAAACATTAGTGCAATTGCTTTACGTAAAAGAGATGTATGACTGTTTAGTGAAAAGGCAGATGTGACAGGGAACCCCCTACCTCTGTTACTGGAAAGTAGAGCACAGGGCTGGATAGGGAGAACAATACCAGTGTAGCCTGCAAAAAGCCTGGCACATGTGGCGGGCTCACTGCTTTTGCCTGGCAAGCCCGGCTTGGAGAAGGACACTTTGGATTGGTGGAACATTTCCACCAATCAGGTAACAGCTGGGAGAGGCTTACCCTGCCCCTATTCAGGATGGGGTGGGGATGAGAGGAGCCCCTGCACCTGATTGAAGACTGCACTTTGCAGGTCTGGTGGACTTCAGGGGCAGGGCCTCTGGTGTAAATACAAGCCCAGTGTGCTCAGCATGCTGGGCAGATGGAGCGAGGGACTCAAGAAGAGCGGAGCCAAGAAAAGCTGGGGAGCTCTCCCCCAGCGGGCAATAGGCCCAAGGCTCCTGAAGCCGCCACTGGAGCAGCCTCGGGAGCAGTGCGAGACCACTTGGGCTGTTGATAGCACGTGGGGACGGTGCGGGGAGACCTGGTTCTGGGAGCAGTGTGAGACTGCTCGGGCCCATCATGGTGCACAGTTCAGTGCACAGAGCCCAGGCTTTGGGAGCTGCAAGTAGTGGCTCGAGCCTGCAACCCTGGCAGGGCCAGGAGGCCACACAGTGCACAGGGCAGCGCACAGGGTAAGGGCCTTGGGGCTGCAGTGAGGCGGCTCAGTCTCCATCTCCTGGCAAGCGGCCAGGTCCCCTGGTGCTCAGAGTGGTGCACAGGCCCAAGCCTTGGGAGCCAGGGAGTAGTGGAGGTTGCTTGGGTTAGCCACCCTGCGTGAGGATGGCTGGCTGGAGCCTGAAGGGCCCGGCCTGTGCTAAAAGAGCCCTCAGTGCCGAAGCCAGGGCATGGGGAAATAGTAGTGCTGCAGTGTGAGGCCCAGCACCCAGAAGCCAGCAGCAGTGGTGCAACAGCTGAGAGGAGCTGAGCCCTCGGTGCCTCGAGCAGGGTACAGGATGGGGAGGAACCCAGCAGTGCAGGAGAGGCCTGCAGAGGCACTCCAGCAGAGGAGACCCCATCAAGCTGCACCCTGACCACTACCACCTTGGGTCCCACAGGGGAAAGATGTTTGGGGGGGGCAAACCCAGAGAAGGGGCTGGGTGAGCAGCCCTCCCCCTGCCTAGTCAAGGCCCTAGGGGAGGGGCTCTTGGTGCTTCCTGGACACCCTCCCGAAGGGACCCCATTGGAAGGAGGACTATCTATCTCTTGCCATGGGTCAGGGACTATATTAAGGAATAGATGTTACTAAGATTGTTCATGTTTGCACCTTATATTTTGTAATTGAAATGTTGTATTGTGATGTTGTAAATAGTGTTATTTAGGGTTTGACTTTGGTTATTGGTTAATGTTCACTGTATAAATATATGTATATGATATTTTTATGTTTATGTATATTATAACTCAATAAATTGTATATAGTTAAGAACTTTGGGCTTGGGCTAACTCTATAGAGGAAAGAGGGATATGCTTGAAATTCTGGCATCCCTCTCACAGCACCCCCTCCTGCCTACCCATCCCACCCTATTGAGAATAGGGCACAGCCTTGGGTGTACCCAGGTTACATTAGTAACCAATGGCTCAATGTGTAGTAGACAGCCAATATCAAGTAGAGT